CACCAGCATCTGGAAAGAACCATGGCTATCTCTCGATAAACCGATAGCTCCCATGGGACCTGCTCACCAAGACACAGAGAAGCTAACAGTCTCAGAACTTTGGAATAGCCAAACAAAAAGCTGGAATAAGGAGAAGATACGACTTCTCTTACCCCAATGGGAGACAGAGATTCTACTCCTCAAACCAAGCTGCATGCAATTGATATCACCATTTTTGCAAGATTCTTTGCCTTTAGAGGTAGTTTTCTTGTATTTGTGGGATTTGAAGTCTTTGTAGGTGAAATAATCAAAAAGGATGCAAAAAGGAGTAAAAGAGCCCTAAATCAAGATCCATGCAAGTTTCCAAGTCAAGAAGATCATTTTATCTCCAAGTGTTAGTTCTCGCTAGCGCGCAGAACGAAGCTTCGGAAGTTTGGCCGCGCGCGGAGGAGTTCCCGACGTCCAAAAGTTACGATCTTGATATGGAAAGATAGATACTTGAGTCATGCATCACGTCGAAGTGGAATGAAGCCATTTGGATCAACTATGAGGCCTAGACTTATTTTCTACCGAGACATGTCCGGTAAGCGAGTAAACGAAGCCCATGGAGGATTTGGAGTGTCTAATGGCCCGAGCAGCAGCGCCAAAGGCCTTGATCGAATAGAGAAGAGGCCTGGCTAATGTTTGGAGCTTTCCTTGGTACAATGTCGGCCCATACACGACGTGGAGAAGAAGGCTTTGCTCGCGGGAAACTTTCCTTTTCCGGCATGAAGAAAACCCTACGCGACTTCGCCCATATATACATGTTTTTAGCCGCTGAAGAAGAGAGTCCGAAATATCAATATCAAGAAGTGAGAAGAGAGAGAAGAGAAGAGAAGCCCTAGGAGATCGTCCAAGAAGAAGGAGGCGCCGCTCAACTCTTGTTCTTTCTTTTTCATTGTTTCCATTTCTATAAACTTGATCTTAAGAGTTTTCAAGGGAGAATCCGACTTTGTTCATCAATAGAGAAGCTTTCTTCATCCCTTTATCTCTTTTAATACTTGCATAATGTTTACAATCATGCTTTGCTTGCTTGTTTGCATCATGGCCGAGTAGATCTCTTAGTTAGGCCGAGGAGATCTATGGTGGCCGTGATGATTTGATTGTGTTGCAACTTATTGGGATTTATCTTATGGATCTTCACCTTTACTTGAGCTTAATGCATGATTACTCTACCGTACATCTAGTAATCTGATCTTAGAGAAATAGAACCACGACAGTGCTGAATCTAGATCTCAAAACTAGTATTTGGTGAGCAATAGATCATAGCCAACGAAAGCTGAGTTATGGTTTATTGTGAACAATTGAATCTTGAACCTTGTAATGCATGTTTGCAATTCTAATAGCCAACGAAAGCTGAGTATATTAGGTTGTTTTAAACATAGTGGTTGGAGCCACGACAGTGGAAAAACCATACACTAGTGATTCATGTTCAAGACGGCTCTACACACATCCCATGCAACTATCTTTTCATCATTGCTCCATATGATTGTCCTTTGCCTAACTCTTGTTTTAAATTGTTTACAAACTCACTCACATTTCTTTTGTTTTGTTTTCTCATTCTAGGTCCCAAAACCACCTCATATTGCGAGCTAGCTACAAACCAATCTCACAAGGTGTTAAGTGAGAACACTTCCTCCTCGTGTTCGACCCCGACTACAACACGGCTGTGCACTTGCAGCTCATTAGTTGGGTTTATAAATTGTGAAAATTTGAGGCAATCTAAACCCGCCATCAAGCTTTCTGGCGCCGTTGCCGGGGAGGAGTTGCTTTTCCTTCACACCTCTTGATTTGTTTCAAGACTAGCTCATCTCATCTTTCACTTTTCTTTGTTTTTGTTTTTCATAAAATCTTAAAAACTCATAAAAATTTTACTTAACTCTCTCTCTCTTTGTGTGTTTCTAAGGTGCATGACAAGAAGGTCCAATCCAAATACAACCATTGAAGAAGATCTTGACATTGACCAACTTGAGCGCACACTTAGGCGACTAAGAAGAGAAAGAATGAATCCAGGCGGAGAAGGCGCGCCAAATAGGCCACACAACCCGCCCGACCAAGAGAGGAGAGCCAATGATCCTCCTAATCCAGCAGAAGCTAGAGCTGACCAGCCAGCACCGGCCAGAGACGTTCCTCCACCCAATCCGAACGCGCCCGATGCAGCTGAGCCGCTACAGCCACCTCTTAACCCGCCGCGACCACCACCGGCGTTTGCAAATGGACATCATCGTCACGGTGACAACCAAGGGATGCCTCAAGACCAACCTCACGCACCTCCAAGGAGAGTGCCAAACGCGCAGCATCCAAGGCACCAAACTATGGGAGACTTTGATTCTTCCGATGCTTTCTTTATGGATCGGAATCCAATCCGACCGCCTCTACCTCCAAGGAACGATTTTGAGATCAAACCGCAGATCATTGCCTTGGTGAAGCAAAACCAATTCCATGGTTTGCCCACTGAGCATCCTCTTGATCACGTCGACACCTTTGAGGAGATATGTAGCACAACTCGTGTTAATGGAGTATCACCGGATTACTTCAAGTGCAAGCTATTCACTTTTTCTCTAAGTGACAAGGCGCTAAGATGGGTAAAATCTTTACCACCTCAGTCCATTACAACATGGAATGAATACAAGGGAGCTTTCTTGAACCAATTCTACACTAAGCAAAGATCCAACTCTATAAGGAGCAAGATTTCTGGTTTCAAGCAAGATTCAATGGAGTCATTCTATGAAGCTTTGGAGAGATTCAAGGAGTACACAAGGAAGCTGCCCTAACCATGGCTTTTCAGAAGGTAACCTTTGGAACATCTTTTACAATGGGATTGATCACAAATACAAGCTTTCTCTCGATACCGCGAGCAATGGTAACTTCATGACCAAGTCGGTGCCGGAGGCAAAGCTTTTGATTGAGAATCTCGCTGCTAGTGATGCCAATGCATGCCCTGACTACAATAGAAGCGTGAAGACCACGAGCTCATCAGAATCAGCTCAAATCTCGGAGCTAAGGAACATGGTTTCACAACTACTTAAAAGCCGGACAAGGAGTTCACGCCATTGAAGATGCCCTAGCCACAAATGAAGACACTCTTATGGATTTCATGAGAGATGGCACTGAAGAGAATCTAGAGGAAGTCAACTACATTGGAGGAAACTATGGGAATAGAGGATTCAATCCAACCATTTCGCGCGCATCCAAACCTATCATACCGGAGCAACAATGTGGAGAATCCAAATGACCAAGTCTACCCCAATCAAGGAGCGTATCAAGGAGGCCAATACCAATCCAAGCCACAACAAGTCTATCCAAGAGGGATGTACCAAGTGAAGCAACCATTCACTTTTTCTCAAGAAACAAATCCAACCCAAACCGGAGAGAAGTTGACGTGGCTTGAAGAAATACATGGAGGAGCAGAGATTGATCACCAAGAACCTATATGAGAAGCTTGATCACATGTTTGGTGATCTAAGCAGCAAGTTTGGGTCTCTCTCTACTCACGTTCAAAAGCTTGAGGTGCAAATCGCTCAAACAGCCGAGGCGGCCAAGAAACAAAATGAGGTAAACACTCAAAATTTTGTAGTGTTGTCTCATCTATAGATGGCACAATTGTTCCTACACTATCTCAAGGGGAAGAAGAAGAAAATGAGCCTAAGGAGAGGCACAAACCGGAGAGATACAGTTGGGAATCAAGAAGAGCTTACAAGAGAAGACTTGAAGGCAAGCCACTACAAAAACAAGAAGATCCGGGGAAGTTTGTGATAACTTCAAGTATCAATGGCATTCAACTCCATGATTGCCTATGTGATACTGGTGCTAATGTTAATCTAATGTCTCTTGCACTTGCAAAAGATTTGGGATTCAAGGAATTCAAGAGCCCCAAGATAAGAGTTGAGTTCGCGGATCTATCATGCATGGAACCTTATGGAATGCTTGAAGATGTCATGATGGAAATAGGGGGTCGATGTCCCAACTGACTTTCAAGTCATGATTTGGGAAGGCTCAAAGAGGAATCAACTGATTCTTGGAACCCCATTCCTTGCTACAGCTGGAGCGGTCCTAAACTACTTTGGGAACCATCTATCGTTTGGCCACATCCGGCAAGATATCTTTTTCCCAAGTGTAAATTTCAGGTCAGTGCCAAGTGCGACCAAGCTACCACCAGAAGAAGCCACTCTCATGCCTAAGAAAGAAGCCGTGATGCATGGAGAAGAAGAGAGAGTGAGCGCTACCCAAAACCAAAGGAGAAGAAGAAAACATTGGAGCCGAGGCATGAAAATGTCTTTAAGGAATAACTCCATCTACTTCCAACCTTTGACGAATATGGAGCTGAAGAGGAGACTAATGGTGCACCTAATCTCTTTCACAAGATAAGAATCTTTACACCAAAAGATTCGGAGCTTAAAGGTGACCAATCCATTGAAGAGAAGCTTGAGAGAACTATGAAGCTTTTCCCCAAGGCATTGGTTTTCAAAGATGATGTGAGAGATGACATGGCGCGACAACACCACCACAAGAATCCACTACACCGGAGAATGGAGAAGCTAAAGGGATCCTTTGCCCTTCAGCCACTCTTCACCACGATTAAAGAAAGAGAAGGAGTCAAGCTAAATGACTTAAAACAAAAGCGCTTTATGGGAGGCAACCCATATGGTTTTTAACTATCTATTTCTATTTTGCAGGAGTTTTTCAAAAATCAAACAAAAATACAAAAATATTTTCTTAGGATGAAGACCCAAAGGAGACCAAACAATGAAGTGTCCCACCCAATGAGCCCACCCTTGTACAAGGCGTTTCTCTTCCAAAAGGTAAGTAAATTCTCACCTAGTATTCATTTCTAATCACTCTTGATCTTCACTTGAAAAATCGTTTAAACCATTGCACTTTATCAAATATATTTCATGGTTTAACTTGATTTACTTTTGATGATTGGAAAGAATACATAATCACTTGTCAAAACTCATTTTCTCACTGAAATTACAAGAGAT